TGGCTTTGAACTTGCAACCCTCCTGCCTCAGTCTCCTGAGCCACTGGGATTATGGTGTGCACCACCACACCTGGCCAGCCATCTGTTTTTGTAGTGAATATTTTATTGGAACATGATCATTTTTTTAAAAAAAATTGTATTAATCCGTTTTTGTTACTATAATAAAATGCTAGAGACAGGTTAACTTTATAAAGAAAAGTGGCTAATTTAGCTCACTCTTCTAGAAGTTTAAGTGTATGATGCTGGCATTGACTTGGCTCTGGTGAGGGACTTCTTGGCTGCATCACATACACCTCACATGGACTGAACATTGTGAGAGCATATGTGTGAAGAAAAAAAACACATTGCTAACAGGAAGTCAAAAGAACTGAATGGGGCCAGCTCAGGCTCTTATAACAACCCTTTCATTAGAACTAACCAAGGTCGTTCTTTTATGAGGGCATGCTCCCAACTGACCTAGCAATATCTCACCAGGCCCCACCTCTTAAAGGTTCCATTTGCCAACATCACCACACTGAGGATGAAACTTCCAGTACATAAACCTTGAGACACATCACATCCAAATTTTAACACAAATTATGATTGCTTCTATTGTACAGTGGCAACTTTGGGTAGTGCCAAGACAATATGACTCATAAAGCCTAAAATAGTTGCTACCTTGTTCATTAAGAAGAAGTTTGTAGTGTTGTATGAAAGGAGATAAGGTCAACACTCCCACTGACAAGGATGGAAGAGGCCTTTGGAGATAAAAAAAAAATAGCATACATTTAAGGTATTGCCGCCAACTTCATGGCATCAAAACATTTTTAAAAAATATTTTTAGTTGTAGATGGACACAATACCTTTATTTTTATTTATTCATTTTTATGTGGTGCTGAGGATTGAGTCCAGTGTCTCACATGTGCCAGGCAAGTCTTTACTACTGAGCTACAATCCCAGCCCCATCAAAATATGTTTATTTGACCCAGTTATCCCACTCCTCAGCCTAGACCGAAAGAACTTAAAATCAGCATAATCTAGTCATATGGCCACATCGATGTTTGTAGCAATTCAATTCACACTAGCTAAGCTATGGAATCAACCTAGGTGCCCATCAACAGGTGGATAAAGAAAACACAGTATATATACACAATGGAATAAAGAGGAATTTTATTCCATAAAGAGGAATAAAATTATGGCATTTGTCAGTAAATGGATGGAACAGAAGATTATCATGCTAAGTAAAAGAAAATGTTCCCTCTGATGTGCGGATGCTAACACACGATATGGGGGAAGAATAGAAATTTATTGGATTAGACACAGGGGAAGGAAGGGAAGATAGGAATAGAAAAGACAGTAGAATGAATCAGACATAACTTTCCTGTGTTCATGTATGAATACATGACCAGAGTAA